CACCACCACCGATGCACTGACACTACCGCTGATGCACTGACACAACCGCCAATGAAATGATACCCCCACTAAAGCACTGACACCACCACTGATGCACTGACACCACCACTACTGATGCACTGACACTACCGCTGATGCACTGACTCAACCGCCAATGAAATGACACCCCCACTAAAGCACTGACACCCCCACTAAAGCACTGACACCACTACTGATGCACTGACACCAGCGCTAATGAAATAACACCACTGATGCAATGACACCACCAGTGATGCACTGAAACCACCACTGATGCAATGACAACACCAATGATGCACTGAAACCATCACTGATGCAATGACAACACTGAAGCACTGACACCACCACTAATGCAATGACATCACCAGTGATTCATTGACACCACCGCTAATGCACTGACACCACCACTGAAGCACTGACACCACTAATGCACTGACACCACCGCTGATGCACTGACACCACTACTGAAGCACTGACACCACTGAAGCACTGACACCACCACTGAAGCACTGACACCACTGAAGCAATGACACCATCACTGAAGCACTGACACCACTGAAGCACTGACACCACCAATGAAGCACTGACACTGATGCAATGACACCACCAATGAAGCATTGACATCACAGCCACTGATGTACTGATACCACCCCTAATGTACTGACACCCCCACTAATGCAATGACACCATCTCTGATGCACTAACACCACCACCACTGATGCACTGACAGCACCACAGATACACTGACACCACCACTGATACACTGACACCACCACTGATACACTGACACCAGTGATGCACTGACACCACCACTGATACACTGACACCAGTGATGCACTGACACCACCACTGAAACACTGACACCACCACGGAAGCACTGACACCACCGTCGATGCACTGACACAACCACCAATGAAATGACACTCCCACTAATGCACTGACACCACCACTGATGCAATGACACCACCACTGATGCAATGACACCACCACTGATGCAATGACACCACCACTGATGCAATGACACCACCACTGATACACTGACACCACCACTGAAGCACTGACCCCAGCACTGAAGCACTGACACCACCACTAAAGCACTGACACCACCATTGATGCACTAACATAATCACTGAAGCACTGACACCACCATTGATGCACTAACACCACCACTGAAGCACTGACACCACCACTGAAGCACTGACACCACCGCTGATGCACTGACACAACCACCAATGAAATGACACCCCCACTAAAGCACTGACACCACCATTAATGCACTGACACCACCATTGATGTACTGATACCACCACTGAAGCACTGACACCACCACTGATACACTGACACCACCCCTGAAGCACTGACCCCACCACTGAAGCACTGCACCACTGTTGCACTGACACCACCGGTGATGTACTGACACCACCGGTGATGTACTGACACCTCCAGTGATACAGTGACACCACCAGTGATAGTGACACCAGTGATGCAGTGACACCACCACTGATACACTGACACCACCACTGATACACTGACACCACCACTGATACACTGACACCACCACTGTACACTGACACCACCACTGATACACTGACACCACCACTGATACACTGACACCACCACTGATACACTGACACCACCACTGATACACTGACACCACCACTGATACACTGACACCATCACTGATACACTGACACCATTGACACAACCACTAAGTTCTTATTTCACTAAGGTTTAACTCTCTTTTATTTCCGGAGAAGTTGTGAAAGTCATTATTATTGTTTTACTTTCATCACAGGCTGACGTCAATTTAGTTTATGTACCTGTTCTTTCGTAATGTAAGTTGAATAGGCTTTTTAATGTTGCATTTATCCACACAGATAACTTGCGTTTTGTTGAAGATAGATGCCATAAATAGGAAGCGAACTTGGTAAGATATAAAGTGATAATAGTGAATTATTAACAGTGTTTAGCTCGTGATTCCATAGCTAACTTAAAAAAAATTTGAACCAATAAACAGAACATATTCGAATAACCATTAATACACAGAGACCTGCACTAAGACAAACTTATTAATGATTATGGTCCGACTAGGACCATAACCATTAATACTTTATTATTATCCAATAAAACCCACAGGATGATGTATAAGAGTACAATAATTGAATGGTTGAACTGTCCTAACAGGCAGCGTCGCAGCGAGTTACAACCCAGTGGACATATTCAAGATATATAGGCTTTCTGAGACTTTGTAACCGTTGTAAAGCCATTCAGGTTCTGAATGAATGTGGCTGGAAGCCTTTATCTGTATGTAGTAGTATCGTTAGGTTCATAATTCGTGAACTTGAACCCATCAACCCCTCCCAGAGTTCGGTTACAAAACTTCTCCCAGTTCAAAGAACCTGTGTAATAGTTATATATTGTTTTGAAGCCTCTTGAGAATGCTTATTACAGCAGAAAGTTAATTCCTTGTCTTTAGCAACAGTGTAAAGTTATTATTCCCTTGTTAGGAAGGTTAATCGTTGAATAAAAGTTTACACATCCTTACCATCAATTAGACACCACTGAATATTTATCATACTCTTTTTATACTGATTCCTTGTAAATTATCTGTTTTCTTTATCATTCATTACTAGTATTATTAATTTAAGGTGTTTTTCTATCTCCATGTACCTTGCATCTTATTGTCTCTTGCGTGTTGACTATTAGCATTCTCTGGGTTACTGTAGGCCTAGTTGACTATAGCCTATCATAGTCTAGAACTGAATATGTATTATTCAATAGCTTTGAGGGAGGGTCTGATTAGATACAGTAGTCCCCAAGAGCTTAAGTCGAACATTGTGTGAATAATCTAAGGGGTACTGAAGGACTCTTGATCCCAAATAGGGTGATCATCTTCAAAGCTGGATCAGAGGAACAAGTTTCCTGTGTAAGTTAGTCGTCTCGCATCACATCTTCCTATTCAGAGCAAGAATTTCACTAAGACATTGTGATGGGTGACTGTTCACGAATCTTAGTGTATATTAAAATGGTATAAAATGCCGACAGGTTGTTAGGTAAGACACATGCAACAGTTAGGTATATTTATTTCGAAACGTTTCGCCTACACAGTAGGCTTCTTCAGTCGAATACAGAAAAGTTGATAGAAGAGACGTGAAGACGATGTAATCAGTCCATCACCCTTGAAGTTTTGAGGTGGTCAGTCCCTCAGTCTGGAGAAGAGTATTGTTCCATAGTCTGAAACAATATGGAGCTGAAGTGACAGGGTGGACTGATTACATCGTCTTCACGTCTCTTCTGCTTCTATCAACTTTTCTGTACTCGATTGAAGAAGCCTACTGTGTAGGCGAAACGTTTCGAAATAAATATACCTAACTGTTGCATGTGTGTCTTACCTAACGAGTCTTAGTGATGACTGTAGCGCGCGGTCGGTTGGCACCCGTTTCAGAATTTCATTTATTGGCATTGTGCTATAATTGATATTTCATTTGTTGGCATTGTGGTATAATTGATAATTTTTTAATTAATCCTGATATAGCCTTGTTAATAAACGACAATCTAACCTAATCTAAATCGAGAAATTTGCTAAAAGCCTACTTGAGAACCCGTCTTAAAATTGAGGACGGGTTGCCTTGACAAGCCTGGATCAGGCTCAGGGTCAAAGGTAAGGTTTCGTAAGTATATGCTGACCTTTGAACCTACTCAGAAGACCTAGAAATTCAAACAGACTTTCACTTGATTTATTTAGTGAGTGGATGGTGGGTGGGTTCCAATTTTCCCGTGATCGGCTTTGTTTTTTTCCTCTCGTTGATTTCTCTTACAGTTTCACACTTTTGATTAATTCGTTGAAGTTATTGGTAAAGTATTTTCTTTTGTAAACTTTGTCTTTGACTTATCCAATAAATGCAGATTGACAGCTGTTTTTGCTAGGATTCTTAAACACACTTATACTGATGTGCTAGAATTAATAAACACTATTACAATGTGCAAAGATTATTAAGCAATTATTCTGATGGCCTAGGGTTAATAAACACTATTATTCTGATGGGCTAAGAATCATAAACACTATTATTTTAATAGGCTAGGATTCGTTAACACTTCAAAAATCTTGGATTCATAAGCATTATTATTCTGATGTGATAGCATTCATAAAACACTATTCTGATGTGATAGCATTCATAAAACACTATTCTGATGTGATAGCATTCATAAAACACTATTCTGATGGGCTAGGGTTAATAAACAGTTCTAATGGGATAGGGTTAATTAACAGTTCTAATGGGATAGGGTTAATAAACGCTATTCTAATGGGATAGGGTTAATAAACGCTATTCTAATGGGATAGGGTTAATAAATGCTATTCTAATGGGATAGGGTTAATAAACGCTATTCTAATGGCATAGGGTTAATAAACGCTATTCTAATGGGATACGGTTAATAAACACTATTATTCTGATGTGGCTAGGATTCATACACTGTCATTCTGATGGGCTAGGATTCATGCACTATTCTGATGGGCTACGACTCATACACTTATGCTGATGGGCTAGGATTCATACGCTATTATTCTGATGGGCTAGGATTCATACGCTATTATTCTGATGGGTTAGGATTCGTTAACATTTTTCCAAAAGCTAGGATCATAAACACTTTTATTTTGATGTGCTAGGATTAATAAACTGTTATTCTGATGGACTAGGATTCATATACTATTATTCTGATGGGTCAGGATTCATTAAGTTCCGAAAACCACGATCATAATCACTATTCTAATGTGCTAAGATTCATAAACATTGTTAATTTTGATATGATAGGATTCATTAACAATATTCTGATGGGCTAGGATTCATGAACACTATTCTGAAAGCTAGTCATAAACACTGTGCTAAGATTCATAAACATTGTTCTGATGGGCTAGGGTTAATAAACACTTATTCTGATGGGATAGGATCACAAACACTATTATTCTGCTGGGCTAGGATTCATAAAACACTGTATTTCGGTTTGAATCGTATTTATGTCTACAAACTAGTACATTCTATAATAATTGAATATATGTTATATATGCAAAACACATAATGCTAGGTGCGCATATTAAATAAATCAATAAATTAAACTTTTAAATTTTCATCTTTTTTTTAGAAACTAAACCATCGTTTTGTCTTGTTATAAATCCAACAGAAACCGAAAAAGCTTCTATTGGCATAAATCAACATTTGACATGGAATGGTGAGCGGAAGACGGGTTCCGTGGGGAGGTAATAGTGAAAAAACAGGGTCGCCCTCTATCGAAATGTAAGACCAAGGCACTTGAAACACTGGACGTTTACCAAGGCGACCCCTCCGGTTAGTGCTGTTGACAACTGCGTTAAATTTTGTGTGGAAAGTTTGTGAAGACCCCCAGCCCGGGTGGCGCCAGACCGTAGCGGGTTGAAGTTGCAGCCACATTGGTTGGCACCAGACCACTGTGTTGTAGCGGCAGTCACTGTGTTGTAGCGGCAGCCACTTTCTTCTTGAGGCAGCCAGTGTGTTGTAGCGACAGCCAGTGTGTTGTAGCAACAGCCACTGTGTTGTAGCGACAGCCACTGTGTTGTAGCAGCAGCCACATTGTTGACACTGACCATGGCACATTGTGTAACCGGTAGCCACAGGGTTTACACCACCGCATGGTATGTAGTAGTGGCAACCGCGTGGGTGGTGCCAGGTCAGTGCTAGTAGCAGCTTCAGGAGTGGTGCCAGGCCATGGCGTGTAGTAGTGGCAAGAAGGGTTGGCGACTGGTGATGTCAGCTGGAGGAGGAGCCACGGGAACTGGCAGCGGGAGGGAAGAGCACCGAGAGAAGGGGATAGGGGTCCACAAACTTTATACTTGATAATTTTGCCTTCGGTTTGGTCTTGTGTTCCTGCTGTTGCAGTTTGTCCCCACAGAACCAGTACTTCAATAAACACCAGAAAGTTATCAACCAATCCAGCCCTGAGCCTGCTGTCTGTGCTCGGGTCAGGGCTAGATAGTTCAGTCACTTCGACACACACATGTCGAAGGAATGGACATCAATAGCATCATCAACGGGTACAACAAGCTTGTAGTTGAACTGGGAGAGAACATGTAACATCAAATTAAACATGGAATAGCTCTGATTCAATAACTATGGAATACTTCAACCACGGTCCACTGACTCAATGATTAGCCGACGCATGTTGGCGCCGGCCCCGCCAGAACGGACCTCGTTACAAACTAGCTTCTGGAAGCAAACACTTAACTGTTCTTTTACACTCTAAAGTATGGACTAGACTGGAAAAAAACATTGGTTTGGTTGCTGCTAACCCGTACGCCGGTCAGCTGGGGTTAGTGGAAAATAATAAAAGAGAGATGTAGAATGTCAGAAAGAAATAGATGTTTTCTTTTCGAGTCCACAAAGAGTATGGAATGCATATAATCACCTTAAAAACTTTTTTTAAATTTGATTTTAAGAAAATATAGCATCAAAAAGACTAAAGTTCACGATCAATAGGGAAACAATCTTCATACAAAAGCAATCACATCACTACCCATTTCTAAGGTGCCTAATTTGTTAACGTTTCTGGTACGGGTCGTGTATGGCAGCCAGTAGTGATGACAGTAGCGTGGTGTCCCCGGCCATGGTGCACCGCCCAGGGGCTCTCACGGTTGCTGCTAGCGCTTTGGACCCACACAAACTACGTTATAGAATGTAATAAAAACGCCTAAATGGAAGTACCAGACGATTAACACGGTTGTACATTTAGCACCAAAGTTTTGGTTTGAAAAGCATTATTACCATATGTCTTGAGAATGTACTGTCTATGGCATTTTGAATAGCATACAATAGCATATACAAAAAAAATCAATGAAGAAATATGACATGAGCATAATAGATTGCCAGAGACAATACACTGTCAACTAGCTCTGCATGTTCACACAACTTTACTGACAAAGAACACTGAACTGTACTGAGGGTGGTGTAGGCCCCTCCCTGCACTGACTGGCAGTCAGTGGTGCAACAGCGCAGTGGGAGGGAAGCTAAACCACAAGAACTACACCAACAAAAATCCACTTGTGACTTCTGCTAATACATTTGTTTGACAAGATAATAGTTGTCCATGTGTCTTTTTGGTTTTGTAATTATAAACAACTTGCATGGGTGGAAAGCTTCGAGACAGATTGACAGCTCTATCTACAAAGCTTCAAAAAACAGAAACCCTATCGCCATACTGGTTAGTAAGTTTGTTAGTAGAGCAGAGGGCACTACGGAAGAGGAAGAGGTTAGTCAGATCTGAGCAGTCTGGAGATCACTTTGATATTCATACTTTGGGTCAGGTTTCTCAACATAGGTAACTGATTATGCCTTAGTCTGCATCACAACAGACCGGAGATTCATTCGTGTGACTAGATCTCACATACGATGTCTTCTTGCAGTCAATCTTAGTTTACGACCACCACAAAGCAAGGCCACTTTGGTTTGTCTTATGCTCGCAGGTAACTCGCCTAACACAGGTGGTTGTGAGCAAGAGTCTGTGACTTGGGGTATTGCCTTCTTGTGGTGAGGAGCAGGAGGAGGAGGGGAGGCGGGCGCGGGCGGACGTCGACAACCTCGAGCACTGTAGTAGCACCTACAGCAGCAGGGGCGCCGCTGCCCGCGGCCCGCTGTGGGCCCCGGCCAGTGTGTGTGCCCCCGGGGCCAGACTATGGAGTGTATGGGCTTGACTGTGTGGTTGGCTATTATAACTTGGTAACTGGGAACCACCATCAACAATTATCCTACATGCATGACTTAGAACTAGGAGCCTTAATTGAGAATCTGTGCAAAAGTTAAAATAAACTGATAAAACTAAAACTAGGACCTGGGTAGCTAGCATGTGACTAGGAGACTCCTGCATGCGACGCAGCGCATGACTTGAGAGGTGTGGTGCAGGTAGGTGAGGACGTAGGGGGCGCCCCGCTGGCGAGGGTGAGGGGCGGCCCCAACCCCGATTGGGAGGCGCCCGTAACATGGGGAGCCTGGAGCGGGTGTCGGGGCTATGGCAGCTTCGCCCAGGTGGGCTCAACATGGCCGCGAGTTCACAAGTCATCCTCTCGCTCGAGGAACGAAACAAAACACAGGGAAACAAAAGTAAACTATATACAAAGTGGGTAACACTGGGCTGTCAGAAAGATGTCATCATTGTTATTGGAAGGCATGGAAAGGCACAAATGCTTTGTCTCAAGAGATATTCACAATAAATCAAGGCTACAACATTTGGACAAAATTTGAGACATGCACCTTCAATATTTGTATCATGATAATAATAAAAGAATGCCCATATAACAGTCCTCCATCTTAGCCTTCTTTTGAACATGTCTTCCTTTGAATAAGTCCAGCCTTAGGCCGCTCAATCACTGGTATATACAGAATCTCTATCTCCTAGGTGTTGCAGCTGAGGTTGCTGCAGCTGGTGATGCTGCAGCTGAGGTAGCTGCAGATGAGGTTGCTGCAGCTGAAGTGGCAGCTGAGGTTGCAGCATGTGAAGATGGTGCAGCAGTTGAGGGTGCTGCAGAGGGTGGTGGGGCGCGGGGCGCCGGGACCGCCAGAGCCGGATGTCCTCCGGCTGGGGCGGGAGAACACCGCTACTCGAGCTGCTCCAGAAACGTCGGAGACTTGAAGTACTCGGGTACAGTCTCGTCCAGACGCGCAATCACCTTGTAGATGGCTTTCTTCCAAGACTGTTCCTGGTCCTTCTGTTCCTGGATAGCCTTGAAGAACTCCTTCAACGTCTGTTCAACCACGTATCTGAAGTGCTCAGGGATCTGCTGGAACAAGAACAGTGGCACAATTAGTTTTAGATAATATAAACAGGAATCAAAAAAGAAGAATGTTCTCGTAGCAGCACGAAATGTGCTTTATTGACGAGGGTTCATTTTTTAAGAAATTAAAGGACTTTTTTTTCCTTCACATATAGAAATGAGATTATTTTCAAGGCATATAACATATACCTCAGGCATAATAAAATTGAAGTTAATCATGTCGCTCTATCTAATGCTCTTGCCTCCTAGATTTGATATTTTCTAAGATTCTCTCTTCTTCCCTCTCGTTGCCCTCCCTTCGTGTCTGCATGCCGCCCTCTACACTGTGTTCCCTCCCTCCCTCCCATGTCTGTCTGCATAAATTCAATCTTCCCCTTGTGTGTGTGTGTGTGTGTGTGTGGATAGGCCATCCGCAGGTATGATAATCCCGAGGTAATAGTAACTCCAGCTCTGCCGGAACAAAACTTTTGAAGCTTCCGTAGTCATGTGCAACGCTCAAGCTTATCCTTAGCGCCTTACTAAACACTCCCAGCTTAGGCTGTCTGATTTTATAAGTTTATGTACAAAATGTGGCCTGCGTGAGAGAATATGACCAGGAAATATAGTTAACTGGATCTCACAATGTGTGATAGAAAATAACAAAGAAACTTAGCTAACTTGTACCCTCTATATAACTATCATATAGAGTGGGACAGGTGTAAACTGATATACTTAACTTGATTTAAACAGAAAAAAGGTGTGCCTGTCGCCCTACAATGTGAAGAGTTTTAATCAAAGGGTTTGGAGCTATCATCCCATTCCCAGGCGCCATATGATTTCCAAGGGTTCAGAGCTTCCCCTGATAATAATAATAATAATAAACTTAGAGCACTGTTCCTCCATCCATCCGTGTCTGTCAGTCATTTCCTCCACCCGTCTCCCCATGTCACCCCCCACCGTCTCTCCCTGTCATCCCCTCCCCGTCTCCCCATCATCTCTCCCTGCCATCCCCCTCCGTCTCCCCCGTCATCCCCTCTGCCCTCTGCCATGATAACTACGACAAAAGCCACAAACCTCGAGGTGGTTGTTGCGGTTGTAGTGAAGGTTGAGGGCGCGGATGATCTCAGCATCGAGGGTGACAGTGATGTCGTCGATGCTCTTCAAACCCTCGCTCAGGTACTGCCTCGCATACTTCTCCATCTGAATGTAGTAGAACTCCCTGTTGAGATAAACACACGCTTATTAGTATCGGCAGATCAAGGGTATACAACGACAAGTTGATATGTCAGACACATGTGCAACACCTATGTATATTTTGTGTTGACTTTATCAACAAAATAGAGGAACATATATGAAGGACTGTTGAAAATAAGGTAATCATCCTAGCATAACTATAAATTACAACTCGGACACCCATTGAAAGAAAAAAACGTAGTTTCTAGAAGCATTGTCTAGGCAACGTTCAGCTACCTCATTCTAGAGGTGATTTACTGGTCAAAACACTGCTCTCAAAACAATGACCAAAGCAAAGTTAAGTAACAAAAATTCTCGCTAACAACTGGTAGCCACAACACTCAACCAACCATAGCAATACTACCAAACAAGCCAAACAAGAATGGGTGGCTACAGCAACACTGTCAAACAAGCCAAACAAGAACTGACAGCTACAGTACAGAAACGAGGGCAAAGATCGGCTGCGACCCGCAGGTAATGCGGGTCCCGTACCACTCATGAATATTCACAAAGAATACTTCTAGATGGTAAGGGGCGTATTAGCGTGAAAGGGAGGGGAAGTAGGGAAGAAGAAGGAAGGCTTGGGAGGGAAGAAAGATGGCTTGGGAGGGAAGAAAGAAAGATGGCTTGGGAGGGAAGAAAGAAAGATGGCTTGGGAGGGAAGAAAGATGGCTTGGGAGGGAAGAAAGAAGGCTTGGGAAGGAAGAAAGAGCTTGGGAGGGAAGACAGATGGCTTGGGAGGGAAGAAAGATGAAGAGCGGAAAAGGATCAAGCATGATAAACAGTTACAGTGTAAAGCAAAATATAATGTATGCCGTTGAAAGACAGGTGTTCTGAGGTACATGGATGGATGGATGTGTGTGTGTGTGTGTGTGTGTGTGTGTGTGAACAATTAGGCTGGTGAGTGGAGTACGTGAAACAAGCACAAGGCGACACCGAGGATAAAGAGGGAGAGGCAACAAAGCAAAGACTAACGAAGCAAACGAAGGACAGACAAAAAAATATACTCGGATGATTAGAGACAATGAAGGGTAGACGCGACGGCAGAGAGAGAGGGAGAGAGAGGGAGAGAGGAGAGGGAGGGAGAGAGAGAGAGGAGAGAGAGAGAGAGAGAGGAGGAGGAGGGAGGGAGAGAGAGGAGAGAGAGGAGAGGGAGAGAGGAGGGAGAGAGAGAGGGAGGGAGAGAGGGAGGAGAGAGAGAGGAGGAGAGAGAGAGAGGAGAGAGAGGAGAGAGAGAGAGAGAGAGAGGAGGAGAGGAGAGGAGAGAGAGGGAGGGAGAGAGAGGGAGGGAGAGAGGAGAGGGAGAGAGAGGGAGGAGAGAGAGAGAGAGAGGAGAGGAGAGAGAGAGAGAGAGAGAGAGAGGAGAGAGAGAGAGAGAGAGAGAGGAGGAGAGAGAGAGGGAGAGAGGAGGGAGAGAGAGAGGGAGGGAGAGAGAGGGAGGGAGAGAGAGAGTGAGGAGGGAGGGAGAGGAGGGAGGGAGAGAGGGAGAGAGGGAGGGAGGGAGAGAGGGAGGGAGGGAGAGAGGAGAGAGAGAGGAGAGAGAGAGGAGAGAGAGAGATGAGAGAGGAGAGAGAGAGAGAGAGAGAGAGAGAGAGAGAGAGAGAGAGAGAGAGAGGCTGGCTGGATTAAGACAGGGGTGAGCGCAGGAGAGCGAATGAAAGAATAAAACATGAGTGTGAAAACTGAAATGAATTAAAAAGGAGAGAGGCAGGAGGGAGGCGAGGAGATGGGGAGAGAACGGGAGAATAGGGAGGGAGAGAGACGGGGAGACAAGAATAACGACCAAAGCAAGAGAACGAATTAAGAGAATGGTACAATGAGTTTATATATGAGTGCATGGAAGCAGACAGAGGCAGAAGCGCACCCGGCCCAAAACATTATTCTCTCTCCCCTCTTAATTCCCTCTTTCTTCCCCTCAAGCGGGCAGAGGTGACGGCGTGGCCTCACCCGGTGTAGCCTCGTTCCTAAACAATACCACACGGTGTGAGGGGGAGGCAGGAGTTAGGAGTAAGCACCTCTGCCCTGGATCTTCTAGGCTAGACTGACGTCCCCTCCCTCCCTCCAATCCTCCATTCACCTCACAACATGACCACAACACATCTTGTTCATCCCTCCCCCTCTCACTCACCTCTCACAATACCCCTCACAACACTCTAACTCACTTTCCTTCCTCACTCACCTCACGACACCTCTAAAGTTGTCAAGAGATAAAGTGTAGGTGGGTGTTGGAAGGTGTTGGTTGAGGCTTGAAGGCAGGTGTGTGTGTGTGCAGGAACACCTGTACACCTCACCTGTAATCACATTTTTTTCATTGTGGCTTAGCCACACACGTACGTCGTGGCCGCCACCACGTACGTTGTGGCTGTCAGCCACCATCACGTACGTCGTGGCTGTCAGCCACCATCACGTACGTCGTGGCTGTCAGCCACCATCACGTACGTCGTGGCTGTCAGCCACGATCACGTACGTCGTGGCTGTCAGCCACCCCTCTTCTTCCTTCTGTTACTCCTTCGCGTGTTACTGTTTCAAAGTTTATCAAGCATTTGGTGTTATTCAACGAACGTGTTCATTTGTGTATGATGCGCGCTGTTACAGCCACGGGAAAGCGCTAAACCCTTAGGGGGTCACATCACACCTGATGAGTCATGTTCATGACTCATTTTTATGCCCCAAAGTGTTCAGTGTGAGGAAGAGGCATGGTGGTAAAGGGATTCTGATCCAAGGAATCACAGCTACCCTTTAAAATCTTTGGATCAACCCCCTCATTACCTCCCATAACCTCCAAGTGCCGGATGGCCCTATGGGTTTAGCGCTATCCCCCATGACTGTACAGAAATGGTTATAATTATATCCTTAATTTTTAAAGTGGTGGACCGGTAAGCCAGCGGAAGGCCTCGATCAAAAGACCCAAAAGCTCCAGTTGCGGATCATCATATGACTAAGACCCGCGTCAGGGAACACTTGTCCTGTTGCCTGACAAACCTTACCTAACCTAATTCCATGACTGCAATATAGTCTGTTTTATGAACTCAAGCCTCAGACCTTGTGTCATTCACTTCACGCTCTTGCCAAACATTAGAAATAGCAACAGGAGAGAGGTAAATAGTGGACTGGATTGTCACTGGAATGAATTCAAAAGTCTTGGAAGATTTATAACCCGCTATAACACGAAGATTGCTAAGCACATTTACGGAGCAACCTGCAATGTCAACATACTGACTGATGTTGTAGTATACAAGCTTAGGCTTGTTTGCAAGTGTTTCTGACAATTTAACACATGCACAGACGATGATCACAGTAAATGTAATGTGGTGTGACTCTCTTCAACACTGAGAAAAATAAGATATAAGACATATTACTGCAATAAAACATAACCAGAGTACTTCTCTAAATTTAAGGCGTAGTTCCTAGGTCTTGTGTATCCATATGCTCTTGCGCTACGCTCCACAGGATGGATATGAAGTGCACAATAAACTAGCCACCATTGTCGACAGGATAGATAAGGGTGCACAATAAACAAACCTATATCGTTCACAGGATGTATATAGGGTGCAAAAACTAGCACCTTCGGCAGTAAAATCTCAATGTAATTTCCTTCCGTCCTTAATGTTTACCTCTCCTCCTTATATTCCTTCGAACTTTTAACGAGAAGTAGAACGACTGAATGTAGGTAAGGAGAGAGTTTTTTTTTTGCATTCAAAAAAAAAATTGGATACACCAGTAGTGTGCTAATACACTATGCTATATGACAGCTACACAGTGGGAACAAAAACTAGCATGTTTTCCTGCCATATTCCATCATGCAGAATGGGGCTGACACAAGGTGGTGGAAAGAGGGAGATAACGGTAGATGGGGAGGGGAAAGAGAGGAGTAGAGGAAAGGAGGGAGTGGGGCTCGTAGTACGAGGGAGAGCAGCAGCAACAGTTGTAGTAGTAGTAATAATAAGGGAAGGAGAGAAAGTAGTAGTAATGATAGTAGCAGTAGCAACGGAGGGAGGGAGAGAAGCAGCAGTAATAGTAAAGAAGAGAGGGGAGCAGCAGTAGTGATAGGAAAGGAGTGACAGAAGCGGCAGTGGTAGTGATAGTAGAGTGGTGGTGGTAGTAGTAAGAGAGGGAGAGTAGTAACAGAGGGAGAGAAGTAACAGTAGTAAGAGAGGGAGAGTAGTAACAGTAGTAAGAGAGGGAGAGTAGCAACAGTGGTAAGAGAGGGAGAGTAGTAACAGTAGTAAGAGAGGGAGAGTAGTAACAGTAGTAAGAGACGGAGAGAGGGAGGGAGATAGTATGGTAAAAGACACGAAAAAAAAACTTTTAAAACAAATGGTCACAGTGGGGAACAATTGATCTCTCAAAACAAAATTTCAGAAACCAGGCAGCAGAAAGTGACCTAAAAAAGGAATAATGAGGGAGGAATGCATTAACTGAGCAATGTTTCCCAAAAACACAAAATTCCGGAAAAAAAGTCCTACAAGAGCTCTTGATCCCGGTAACTGGAGCTAGCCTTCGGTTCAAACCTGACCCTTCCCTATGTGGGTTTAGCGCTTCCCTATAAATGTAAGGAGAAGAAGAGTGTGACTGGAGGATGTTACATAAGAGAAGAAAAAAGAAACTAAAAATCTAATTCACGAAGAACAAGAGAAGTGGAGCGAGGTCGGTGGGGAGGGGGTGTAGGGGCAGGGGAGAAGTGGGGAAAAGAGTGAGGAGGGGGCGGTGAAAGCGTGTAAGGGGAGGTGGAGAGGGAAGGAAAGGCTGAAGGGAAGAGACGAAAAGAGGTGTGGTGAAGGCCGTGCAGGGGAGGTGAGGGGAAAAGAGGGATGAAGTGAGAGGCGGGGGAGAGGAGAGAGGATTGGTGGAGGGAGGGAGGGGTAGAGGGGAAGCCTGCATGTGGGAAGGGGCATGAGCAACCGGGTCATTGATCTACAGATTACGATAAGATAGCCGGAAATCCAGGCCACTGTGCTAAAAATTTCAATTATAAAATGAAGGAAG